GGGGGGGGATTAAATTCCTTGTATACCAGTTCAGTAATAAGATTAAAATCTAGATCTAGTATCTAGATCTAGATCTAATTTAGATCTAGATCTAGATCTAGATCTAGAAATCTAGATTCTAGATCTACTTTCACTTTCTTTTCACGTACGCATGATTACGTTCTTTTGTGGATGGGTCGTGAAAGGTGAAAGTCTGGACACCAGTCCTCTGCACGCCAAATTGAGCAGGTTTGACATGGTTTCAATGATATTGGAGATAAAAGACTCTCCAATACTGATATGCCAACAGTTGCTTGGAATCCTCCTCTCAGATATTGGTAATGAGTTCGACTTTTCTTGTTGAGTCCGTCTCTGCTACCCAACACACTACACACACACTAAACACACACTTTTCGGCCCCTTGGCCCCTTGAAAACAAAACTCATTGATCGTAAAAGTCAATCTTCTAATACAAAAGAGTAATACTAATCGGTATCGACACTACTAAATGTAAAAACGCGATCTTTGTAAATGATCATAGCCTATTGCAGACATGTATGTATAACTCTATGGTAAATGATAGATTATATCATCATTTTAGTAATATTAGTTCGTTTAGCCTTGAACAGATTGCTACATCAAATTATAATTGGGCTATGTACCAGGACAGTTATATTAAGTCAGTGCTGCAGCCAAATCACAACTCGAACAACTTATAAAAGGTGACTTTGTACTGATTCCATTATCTAAGTAAGTGGACTATAACAAAGATCCACTAGTTGTACAGTATGTATATCTTTGACCCCAGAGATGTAAATTTTACTTATGAAAGGATCTCGTTAAAAACATAGCGAACTGGTTCTCTTACAATCTTTGTTATTACTGTATTATCATTGTTATTACAAGGCTATTATTACTAGTATCGAGTATCTGATCATTGATCGATATTATTCCCTTGTTCTTCAGTCAAAAGAGTTCAATAAATTCTGGACTCCATTATTCTGTCAGAGTGAGTAAACAGAAGTCGCTTGTAAAACAAACCTTTGTTATGATTAGTTTTATCTTTGATTTCAGTAGATCTATACAAATAATCGAGTCTTGCGTTTGTGTATTAATTGGTCTGTCTTGAACAGTCTCTGACTGTCTTCAAATGTATTGTTTCTATTTCTACACACACTCATCAGCAAATGTCCAGTGTCACTGTCCAGTCTCTTTGATGAGTCAGGGGGGATCTCGCAAAATCAGCTGTTTAACTTTTAAGTCAAGTTTATAGTTTAGTCCTGGTCTTAGACTTAAAAATAAACGGTGCAGTGTTTAGGCTTGTCTTTTGGTAGTAGATCTACTAATATGTTTGTTTTTGTCCTAGCAAATGTATGGGTACTGTACGATTCATTTCACTTCACTCAAAATCAAAGGGCCACCTCTATTCTCACCCGGGATGAGAATAGTGCAGGCTAGTCTTTTGGCTATTCTCACCCGGTGCGCGTTCACCGTTATAGCCTAGATCTAGGCCAACAAATTTTGCGTTCACCCTAAACCACAGAATTCTACACTGTGATAACAGAAAAATTGTAGAATTCTGTGCCGTGAACAAGAAAGTGGCTATTCTCACCCGCCCGGAAGTTCTCGCAAGATCAACTCCTTCCCTCTTCTCTCTCTCTCTGTCTCTTTCTGAATACTGTCTATCGGTGTGGACAATCAAATTGACCAAAACAAAGTTAAAAAATGATGTTAAAACACAAAAGTAAATTAATTTGGTCGTCTACAAAGATGCTACGGCTATTTAACTTTTCGAATCGAGCCGAACTACACGGGTCGCCATTTTGTTTTTCTCTCTCTCTCTCCACTGCCCACAGACAAAATTGTACGCTTTTAGTAGGCTACAGTTGTAATGGAACGTTTGTTCACGAATCACGGCACAGAATTCTACAATTTTTCTGTTATCACAGTGTAGAATTCTGTGGTTTAGGAGGGTGAACGCAAAATTTGGTGAACGCGCACCGGGTGAGAATAGCCACAAGACTCGCCTGCACTATTCTCACTCTGGGTGAGAATAGAGGTGGCCATGAACAAACGTTCCATTACAACTGTAGCCTACTAAAAGGGTACAATTTTGTATGTGGGCAGTGGAGAGAGAGAGAGAAAGAAACAGAGAGAAGAGTAGCGCGAGAACTTCCGGTCAAAACAAAATGGCGACCCGCGTAGTTCGGCTCGATTCGAAAAGTTAAATAGCCGTAGTATCTTTGTAGACAACCAAATTAATTTACTTTTGTGTTTTAACATCATTTTTTAACTTTGTTTTGGTCAATTTGATCGTCCACACTGATAGACAGTATTCAGAAAGAGACAGAGAGAGAGGGGAGGAGTAGAACTTCCGGGCAAAACAAAATGGCGACCCGCGTAGTTCGGCTCGATTCGAACAGTGAAATAGCCATAGCATCTTTGAAGACGATCAAATTAGCTTACTTTTGTGCTATAACGTAATTTTTTCTTGGCTTTTATCAATTTGATCATCCACATTGATAGAAAGTATTCTGAAATGAGGAAAAACAGGTCTTGTTTCAAACCGGGTGAGAATAGCCTACGACCGCAAGTCTCACCCGGGGTGAGAGATCGATCGTATTTCTATTCTCATAGCCACTTTCAAATCAAAGGGGGGTTTGGAAGTTCGAAGTGACTTTACTATTCGGACTCGAGTCCGATTTGACAAAGATTATATTCGGACTCTGAATTGAGTCAAGCTTGACATCCATTCCGACTTCCGACCCTTGTTGCTATATATTTGGCAGCCTTTATTCCCACCCACCCTGGGGGCTCTCGTGGCCTAGAGGTTAATGTGTTGGCCTCTCATTCAAAGGTCCCGGGTTCCAATTCGGGTAGCGACCGAACAATTTTCTTCTCTAAAATTGTCTCCTTTCGCCTCCTTTCCTGCTCTCTGGCAATATTCTGTTGTCTGCTTTCATTTCCACTTTCTGCCCCCGCCCCCTCACCTCCTTTGCCCCCTCCTCTGGTCTCCTTTCTGCGGCCTTTCTACTGCTACTCCTTGGCTCCTTTTTACTGCTGTCTTTCTGCCACACCCCTGATCTTCTGGTAGGAAAGATCTACACCTAGCCTTCTCGGACAAGGGCGAAAAATCTCGGAGGGCCCGTGTGCAAGTTGCGCACGTTAAAGATCCCTTGGTGGTCTAAAATCGATAAGAGTAGGCTTCGGCCGCCACCCGTGCAAAATTCAAAATTTCCTACCAACTGAAAATATTTGGTGTGTCCCGCGCGCTCATATGACCTATGCAATTGCGAGCGCCGTAAAACACTTTACAAAAACAAAAACCACCCACCCTGGGTGGGAATAATGAATAAGATTTATTTGTTATTTTGTTGGCCGGCTCTATTTCTCCGAACGCTCAGCCCGGCTCAGGAAAATAAACTTGAACTCTTTTTCTCCAAACGGATTCCGTTCTCGAAATTTTTTTGTTATTTGCACGTGTGTGTTTGCAGTGTGTGTGTGTATACAGTGTGCGTGCCTATGTGTGTGTGTGTATGTGTGTGTGTGTATAAGGCAAGGTGTAAACGGAGGGGGGTCGTGGGGGTGTGGAGGGATTGTTTTTTTAGCTACTAGTTTAGGGGTGACTAAATGCAAAATAGGTTACAGCCAAAGTTGAGCAGTCTTGTTTTCTCGCAGTACCTTTTGAAGGCATTTTCAAATGGAGTATAGTCCGGGAACGTTGCCCCAGACTCAATTGAATCTGAATATTCAGTCAGACGTCTAAAAATCTCTAGCTCTAGAAATTGAATTCGATGTAAAAAATTCTTCTGCAGAACTTCCCAGTCCTTCCAGAATGAAAGATGATGCCAAACTCTCACAAATAAATTTTAAAATCTCGAGAACGGAAACTGTTTGGAGAAATAGAGGTCAAGAAGTTTAATTTTCCCGAGCGTTCGGAGAAATAGTCACTTCGATAAGATTTTCTCTTATTCCCACCCCCCTCTGAGGGGCTTAAAAAATATTTTCCTCCATTTTTTTTCACATTAAGGTGTGTGTTCTTGTGCGCATAATTTTGTTTACTTTCATTGATATTTTTGGCTTTTTTCTTTGCTTTCAATGAGATTGATTTGATATAAAGTATAAAGTATTCAAAAGGTAAAAATGACTTTTTTACCCTTAGACACACTCGTTTGGCTCAATATTTCCAGATCCAGCATAAAATTGTAGGCTCGTCCGCCTACTCGTACTAGATCTACCTAGATCTGCCAGTGTATAAATGTCTAATTCTCACCCGAAAAGTGACCCGACGCAGATGGGAATAACCAAAGAAATTATTCCCACCCTGGGTCGGAATACTCACTTCCCTATGAAAATTTTTTCTATTATAATGATACAAGACGAGGGCTTTAATATCCAGCTACTAAAGTTTTAAAATTATGTCGACCTATGAGATTGCGCGTAGCGATCACACACTTACGGCTTGCTGGGGAAAATGTGTTGGGATTGGGACTAGGCCACAGCTATCGATTTTGTGCAGTGTGATTTTTTTAACAAATTAATTACAGAAAAGCCATAACACACAAAAATAAAATTAAACATGGTATGAAAAGACAAATGGTGGTGGAAGTAATGATGATACTGTAGTGGTGGTGGAAAGACCCTGAGTTATCGGTTACCGCGTACGTAGATACTGCCATTGGGCAATGAGAGTGCAGTCTTTTGACTTTTGACGCAATTACACAGTCCTAGTAGGTATTTCTAGTTCTAATTTTGGTTTTACGTAAAATTTCCAGACGACAGTTATATTATGTAACCTCCTTACTCTCACTTACTCACTTACAAGCCGAGTCTGAATAAATAAAACATTTCTTTTGGACCCGAGTCCTGGTAGATAAAACCCATCAATTCGGATAGATAAAAACTCTAATCCGACTTGAGTCCGAATAGAGCTGGCCTTTGAAGATTTATAAAGCCAAGATAATTATTACTTTTACACTTTACTGGACAGGTTAAAGTTTAACTTAATTTTTTAATCTTACCAAGTTTTTTCTTAGGCTAGTACTGAAATTTTGAGAAATGACAAACTTAGCAGGATCTACAAGGATAGAGTTGGTATGGAATATATAGAGAGAGGTCTTACTTGTTACAAGTACAATATCTCCCCCAAGTCTATTACAAAGATTGAAAGAAAATTTAAAAACATCAAGCTATTGTTCTATCTTCCCCTTTCTTCTTAGTAAAGTTTTGTCCTTTTACATTTATATACCCACATGATAGAAGGCCTTTAATAAGTATTTGTTAATAAATGTTATAATACACCTAATCCTAACAATGCAAACCATTGTTTGGCACATTTTTATGTTTTGTATCTGGTAAGTCCCAAAAATGGGTAATTTTTATCTTTGAGTGCCCTATCTTGAAAGTTGGCATAATTTCCGTTCCCTGTTGCCCGTTTAATACTACACTATTTACACGTACCTCCTACTAATCATCTGGCTCTTATTTCTGAATTCATCTGTAGGGTTAACCACAGGCAATAAAAAATGCGCTTTTGGTAACAAATTTGGCAGTATTAGTTTACTGAGTAGGCTTGCCGCTGGCAAGTGGTCAATTGACACAGGCTGTTGTTTGAACGAACATGTGCTCTCACAGAGCATAAACACCAAAATAACTTTTTTAAATGCGGTAAATTTTACTTTTTGACATGCATTTTTGCAAGTTTTTCTAAATCATGTAAGATGGAGAAATAGGGAATGAGGAAAGTGACATTATTGAAGACCTGGGTTCAGAATAATATGTTACCGAATTATCTAGATATTGGCAGTGAGTCCATGAACACAGAGACTTGAGACTGCTGAACTGCTGGCCTGGCTTACAAGCTTAGACTTAGCTGAAAATCAGTGATGACTGTAGGAACACACACCCTAGCAATGAAGGGGTAGTAGAACAAGTTGTATACACCCTTCAGTTGGTTTGGTCTTCTAGGTGGGGTCAATTCCTGAAATAAGGCTAGTAGTCAATGTACACTGATCATGAAAATTAGTTAGAAAAATTTGGGTCACGGCTGATATTGGCTCCAGAGCCATTGGTTCACAATAATTTCAATCAATGGCAGCTTTGAATAAAGTTTTCTGACCAGTCAGTCTTATTCAAGGGTCTCAAACTATTCAGGGGCGTTGGAGGTGAGAGTCTGGCTTAGACTGAGTCACATCAAATATATTCCACCTAAAAAAAATTTCCACAATTTAAAAAAATCTACAATATATCTTTTTTTTTTCATAAGTTCAGGGCATGAAGTAGGGATGGGCAGGTACCGGTCCCCTGTATCGGAACTCCCTGTTCTACTGGAAGAGGTGTCAGTGCCGGCATTAGGCCTCCAGTACCTGTTCTGTGAAGGAGCCGACACCAATGGTTTTTTACTGGCCCCTGAGAGTGTGCAGTGTTTAGGCCTAGGCCTAGAAGTTGTGACGTCAGATACACAACACAACGGGTGACCTTGATACATGACTTCAGATTCAAAATTGACAATCGAAAACGAAGTTTGCTTAAGTTTAAATATGGCATCAAATCAGGTTCTAGGCGAGCCACTTTTCTATTTTGATACGCTGATATCGAAAATGAAATACATTTTTAGTGGCGATAATTATTTTTTAAATTCTGCTTGCAAAAGTTTAATCCCAAGTGACAGCAAACTTCATGGGGATTTTGCGGCACAGCTCGCCTCTCCAATTCTGACTTGTGGCACAGATGGTGGCACTAGAAGCGAGACACAGTCTCTGATGTCACCTCCTGGTGTCACTACCAGTATACCAGTGGTTCTTGACTCCCAATGCCGGGAAAGGACCGGCACTGGGTTTCACCTGTACCTCCCAACACCAGCATGAAGGATTGTTCACTACCGGCAGGTGCCATGAGCCTGAGCAATGGTAGCCCATAAATCATTATATAAAGAATATAAAATTGAGGGGCAAAAAGATGTGTGTGAGAAAAGCGTAAGGATCACGCTTACATTTATTTTTAAACTGTGATGTCTAGTAGAGGCCCTAAAATATTGTCCAGCAGGCTGAGAGTTTGAGATTCCTGGTCTAATTTAGCACACATTGTGAGTGGTGATAGGAACAGTGATACACATGATGGAGTAGCTCCATAGACATTGTTGTGAATTTGAATCCCATCAGCTGCTGAAGGTTCTAGAGTCTGCTGGGGGTAATAATGGCTGTAAAGCAAGGATATGCACCATATAAATGCAATTTTGTTATTAGATTATAAGTCTGAGAGAATTATTTCCTCTTAAGTTGATGGCATGCTGGAGAAATGAAAGAGAAGTCGAAACATTCTAACATGATTTATGTTGACTATTGTGATTGTCACCTTTAAAAATTTTGTTTCTCAAAGTCACAGGTTTTTATTTAACAGTTCTTCTCACTGCCTTGCTCCTAAAAATTTTCATTCACAGATATTTTGCCAAGATTGCAGAATTATGACTGTTCATGGCAGTGCTTGTCTTTGATGGATGAAGAGCTGTGGGTCAATGAGGCCGTCAAAGATAAAAATGTTCCACTGCGCTCATTCTTGGGTGTTATGATCAAGATTTTAGCTTTAAATTGCCCATCTCGACTTCTCCAAAATGTTCAGCAAAGTAGGATCAGACAAAAATAAATTTCTGGAACAGGCGAAGGCTGCTCGTCTGGAAAGAGCCCAAGATCGCAACCGAGAGGAGGCAGCTGTTAAACTTCAGGTAATTCTTAACTCTGAGATAATAAAATATTATCTTCTCTTATCTTCTCTTATCTTATAGTAGGGCACTCAGTGTGCTGGGAGTTGGGAGTCATCATAGTAAGTCAAAGGAATTCCACAATAATTTTTAGAAGATCTGAACATTGGTCTCGTCAATGGGAATGGTTCTTTGTTATTTGGAATTAGATTGACTGACTGTCTTTCAAAATAAACAGTTTAATATTTAGAGCAGTGCTTCAATCTTTGCAAAAGTCTGTCGCTCCAAGTCTAAGTAATATAAATTAAGACTTGTGCTGGAGATATATGTTTCCATCAATTTTTACAATGTTGGTAGCCTCTTGTTTGTTTAGTGCTCTTTGGTTATTAAGACCTGGACTTCATATGCCATTACAACATATTTATTACCTTTCTGACTCTTTCCAGTAAGATCGAAAGAGTATGATTGTATTTTGAGTTTATTTTTCCTTTTTTAAATCACTGTTGACTGAGGTTATATATGTTCCAGCTAATAGCAGTTTTCATTGGTATTTTGAATTAAAAATGTACCTCAATGAATCTGTTGTGAAAATGTATTATTCAGTTACTAAAGTATAGACAACCAAAAATAAAATTTATACGCAAAATGGCATATTAATTATATAAATTAATATACAAAATTTTTATTTTTATATTATGTTGATGCAATTAATGTGTATTGTAGGGAAAGTTTGAAAAAAAAAAATGAGGCATTGCAAGTTGAGTGAAAAGCTTTGGATTTTGCTTCATTTTATGTTTCATATGTTCTTTGTACTGTTTAATGTCTCGTATATATTTGTTTTATTTGTTTGCTCTGTGGAACGTATCATTTAATTTGTGCTCTATGTAACTTTGCATTAATTTTTTTTCTCTAGGCTGGCATTCGAGGATTTCTTACACGACAAAGGGTCAAAAGAACCTTCCGGTAAGTCAGGTTTTATTGTTGAGTACAGTGCAGCACATCAAGGAGAAATTTTTGTAACAAGTACTGTCGAACCTGTGTGAGACGGAATTGCAAGGGAGCCAGAAAAAAATTCCGTCTTGCACTTTTTCCATCTTAGACAGGGGAATTTGGTGGTGGTGGGGGGGGGGGTTCAAAGGCCGAGCCGGTGGGATCAAGGGCTGCTTATCCGATCGGCAAAGAGTCACAAGTGGTCAAAACTTCACACCTCTCAACTGCTATCCTCTCTGATAATGACATGCGTCAGTCTTATTTATCCAGTTACCACCTGTGCTTGCATTTCATAGGACCACTGTTTGACCTATTAAAAACAGAAACGTTTGAACATCTCCTTTGCTTCCACTCTTAGCCCCACGATTGGTGTAATAAGCACAGTCAACCAACCACCCCTCGCTGCCGTGTAACAACGATTCGAAGATTTATTTTCTCGACTGGCTCTATGGTCAGGGTGGCAGGCATTGGTCAAACTAATTTCACACCTGTGGCCTCAGGCTACCGATGAAAATTTCCGTGCTCAAGCGCCACTCGAGCTCTTTCACTGGCACTCATGGGATTTCACACCCACACCACCCTGACCATCTATATCGCTCAGAGCTCACATAGATGGGGCAACATCTACCCTCAACTTGCACCCCTCCTCCCCTTCCTTGCCCTGCTGCGTGGCGTTAAGTTTCGAGCCGGCATGACCAAACTTGTCAAAATGGTAGTTTTGCTTTATCCCCAAAGGAAAATCTGTCTGGCTCTGACTCTGTCCAATGAATCAGGATATTAGACCAGACTTACATTTTCCTTTAAAAAAATGCTTTTACTGATTCAGTGATCAACATTTTATGTGTACAAGTATAATGTGCTGATTTTTTTTTTCTTCCCTTTGGCAGAGAGGAAGTTGACAGCTTCTTGCAGATTCCTCCGCCAGATACTGAGTACAAACCCACTCTCAAACCTGGTAAGCTCACAGTTTGTTTGAGTGATCTCAAGATTTGAATGGAGTTTTTCCCTTTCTCGTGTCAGGGCTGTTTGGTGGCTGGAAGAAGTGAGGTGGAAAACAGAAATGTGCCTACATCTTTGGCACTGTTGGTTTAAAAGCTTGAAACATACCTTTGGAAGTTCTTTGTTCAATTTTTATAGGGGTCCAGTCCTGATGTTTTTTGTCTTTCTTAGAATAATATTTCTCTTAGTTGAGTGTCCTTTCACGGGAAAGAGGGCTTTGGTGTTTTTGTTGCTTTTAATTAGCTGTTTTGTGCATTTGTTAGTGTGGAAAAAAAACACACAAAAACTAATCAAGTCCCTCGGCACACTCACCCCCTCCCCTAATTAAGATGTACCACTACTGATGTAATGAATTAATTTGGATGTTAAGATGTATCATTGCTGTTTTTCCCCTCAGCTATTGAGACATTCCACGTCGTCAAAAAACTTCACTTTGTTCATGATGTTCACTCAGAGGGAGACCAAAAGGTAAATGATGGAATGTATCCAATGTACATTGTGCTAGAGAACAGTGACTGCAAAATTAAAACATAGTCACGATTTGTAGAAAGGTAATGACCAACGCATTTATTTGCACGAGACAAGAAACAGGACAAAAAAGGTCAAAAATTAATTTTTTATATTTTTTTAAAAATTGAATTCCATTAAAAAATTATTCTTTAGCCATTTATGTACAGATATTTACAAAGCTTTGTGTTTATTTTACACTAAAAACATATTTTTGAAGATGTTTCTTTGACACCAGTCATCTTACGTAGTAACGAAGATTGTGTGAGAACTTTTGCTGTGAGAGCCCGCATTGCGGAAAGTTTCTATGATTCATTCATTAAAGCAAACTCCATCACACTGCATACCTAAATATAGGTCAGCTTGTGACCTAGACCTATCTTGATCTGGGAACTGCACATAAGTGTAACAAAATAGTAAAGGATGGCAAGTTTTGCACATTTGTACCCCGTTCCTCCTCATGAGCAAAGCAAAGCCACTCTGCGAAATTTCTATCATTGTCACTGATGGCAATTTCTTCATATTGTATATCAAAGTTTATGTCAGCTTGTGTTATTTCTCATGATGTGTAGTGCACACGTATACATTGGCTCATATAAAAGGAAGGAGGCACGTACCCTCTCACACTTTGTGAGCAATTATAGTCATTTTGCTAAATTTCTTGCTCTCTTTGACCATGAATTTGCTTTGAAAATGTTTAATGACACTTTGAAACTGTTCACTTTTCTCAAATTGCTTTTTTAAAGTTGCACTTCTAAAAGCTACTGTGCTGTCAAGGATTTCCAAGACCAATAACACGGATGGCAAATCAATTGATATTCATTTGGAGTAGAACTTGATCCAGATCTAAGGGAAACTTTCATTTTTCTCAAATCTTTTGTTTCTGCCCCCCAACCTGACAAAATAAACCAGATCTCACAAAGTAGTGGAGCTATCTTTAAAATTTAAAAAGCGAGTTGTACAGAAAAAATGTTTGCATTGAAAATGCAAGAGAATGCAATCTCTCAAAACAGACAATACGGTACGTTACACCAGACACACACGCACATTTGTAATGTTTATGTAAACATTGGTGTGTGTAACTTAAGTTCACCTCTGCAATTTCAGAAATTTTCCTGTTTCTTTGAATAACTCGGGAGTTCAGCAGTATATTAATATTATATATAATGTGAGCACTTTTATAAGTGATAGAATGGTGTTCCCTATGTCTTGATCATCAAGGGTTTAATAAGCTTTTTCTCTTGTTTATTTTTTCTGTTGCAGAGATTTGAGTTTATGTGTCGTTACATCTTGGCTTCTATGGACACTGATTCACTTAAGGTAAGTACTACTGTATGTGAATGGCAGATTCTCGGTTGTGGTTTGCTCCTTCTCTTCCATCAAATATATATCACCCTTATCTCCCTTCCTTCTTTCTCTAGTCTGCGGCATTCATATGTATTGCAAGTACAGTAAAATTCTTAGTAAAACTAAACCTTACTGAGTACTGCTGAGAAAGTTTGGTTTTGTAGATAGAGTATCAGACTTTCTTCAAGATTGTCAGTTTGATTCCAAGGAAAAATGGCCCGGATGTGGAATTCTTTTGACAAAGATGGAGCATAATATTATTTGCACTTTGTTACATTAATGGGAGAAAATAGACGCAATAATAAATGTGAGTTAAGTATCAACATCTTTTTGGGGATGAACAGGATTTATAAGCGAAGACTTCAGACTGTTTCAATATCTTATTGAGGGGATAGCATGATGTCATGTGTTGCACTACATGTGTTTTCACCTTTTTCGTGGTCTCTGAACTCTTTATCTCCGAGGGTGGTTTTCCCACTATACGGGGGAGATCTTTTAGTATGAAATTATTCTTCATCAAATTTTGGTATTTCAGAATTGCTATGTTGCTGTGTCTTTCAACAAAAACCTGACCTTGTTATGGATTGCCCAACTCAAAACTGTCTTATGGACGTGTTGTCAGTATTTTTATTCTCTGAGGGTAAGCTTTTCTTTGTTTATTATTTCCTTGACTTATTTCTACCTATATCTCATTTCGATGACTTGGTGCAAATTTTGACAAATGCCATATTGCAACATGGCGTTTGTCGGAGTCATTTTTTGTCAAAGTCTTTTACATGGGTTCTCTGGTGTGGTTTGCTTCATCTTTTCTATCTAACATCTATCGTCCTTATTTGTCGTCTCTCTTTTTTGCGTTTGTTATTATCTTGTGACACCTCTCATCTTCGGCCTTTATGTGACCTAATTGTGTTGCAAGTGTAGTAAAATGCTTCCTAAAACAAAGATCCTTCATCAAGTCATCAATTTTGTGGTTAATTCAACATTAACTATATTTTATATTATGAGTTTCCGCTTTGCTGAGTTGAAGTTATACGTGAGCCTGTAGATGTGTACCCATAAATCTATTTTACCAAGCAGAAGCGGATGGAATGTGCGATCGTCTTTGTTCAGCTTCAGATTTGTAGTGTAATTTATTTCTTTGTTCACAACAATGTGTGTGGACTGCATGCAAATGAAATTTAAGGGGAAAGTTTGTGATCTGTTTATATTTTAATAGTCTATTAATTGCATTATGTTGTTGATTAAATTTTTATTCTTTTAAACTTTCCCATAACAAAACCGGATTAGCTGTAGAAGTGCTCTTGTGTTGATTAAGGCTTTTTCATTCGTACTTATACTGTCCGTCTGTCTCCCTCTCCCGCTCCCCCCCCCACCTCTCTCTCTCTCTCTCTCTCTCTCTCTCTCTCTCTCTCTCTCTCTCTCTCTCTCTCTCTCTCTCTCTCTCTCTCCCTCTCCCGCTCCCCCCCCACCTCTCTCTCTCTCTCTCTCTCTCTCTCTCTCTCTCTCTCTCTCTCTCTCTCTCTCTCTCTCTCTCTCTCTCTCTCTCTCTCTCTCTATCTCCTGTCTTCCCCTTTTCTTCCCCCCCCCCCCCCTCTTGTTTTTTAACAATTTCTTTTATTTTTTAGCCGGAAAATCACAAAGACCTACGAACTATAATGGTTTTCTTGAGGATGCTGGTTACTTTCACAGCTCACAATAACTGGGTGGCCTTCAAGGACAAGGAAGGTTCGTTCATTATGTACGGTGGGATCTGCTTAGATCATCCCTTATGGACCAGAATTCAGTGTAGTAATTTGAACTATGTTTGTGTAACCATTTGATCCATCGTAATAGAAAAAAAAAGTTCATACAAAAACTTCCTTTTTCTTAAAGGGAATTTTTATCAATCAAGTGTATTTAATGCGGAATTATAGAAACTACCGGAGGTAATGGGAGACTTTTTTTCAAGATTTCAGGAAAAAATCTTTTCTTTCTTCTTTTAAAGTCCTTTCTCCCTTCAATATTTAGTAATGCACGGAACTGTGCAAGATAAATGATTGTTGGTCTTTGTTAATTGGCATTATTTTTATGAATGCATGAAAAGTAGATAAAAAGTATAATAATTTTGTATGAAAATAAATAAGATGAGATATAACTCTGTTTCTCCCCCTCTCAGAAGTAAAAGCTTTGCCGTAGATTTGGTTTTGTTCTAGCATTTAAATATTTCTCATTTCCATCTTTGGGAAAACTTTTTTTTCACTGTAAATTGTTTAATACCCCTACTAACACAAATTAGATCATTTAGGAGGTGGGCTTCTGACCCTGCCTGTCAAGGCCAACCTGGGCTGAGAGGTATACAACATCCCGGAAGAAAGAATTGAGATATTTGAATATAAGATTTCTCCCCACTGGGGTCAAACTCGGGTCTCCTGTATGCCAGTATTTGGAAGGATGTCGGCTTCATTAGTTGAAAGTTGAATGGAATTGTGAACATTATATTCCACTTTTAGTTTGAAGTAATTGTGGCAGTAAAGTAATGGAAAATATCTATACTTTTTTGGTAAAAAAATTATGGGAAAATGACTTATAAGACACCAAATATTATGTATCCTTGTTTGATATATATGTTCATTTAATTTCCTGTCATATTATAATTTTTATCATTTAACAGCTTTGCATCCCGGCTTTACCAAGCTATGTGATAATGTGATGGGTGACCTGAACAGCAGAGGTCTTTATACTGCCCTAGAGGTGAGATACTTTGTATATTTCAAGCTGAATGTACTGAGTTTTTTTACCCCCTGAGATTGGCCCCCTCAGCCTACAAGATCTCTAGTCACCCCCAAACTGTTAATACAAAACTCAAAGATAAAGACCGTTCACAGAAGCGGTGCTTGCTCAGTTGGTATCACAGTAAACTTGAGTGTGGATGACTCTGGTTCAAATCCGCAACGGTGAATTTTTATGCTTAGGTTGTTTGGGGAGTTCTCAAGGCTGTACATCCATTTGGTTTTGGTCTTCTGGAAAATCCCACTTTTTATATGACTTTTTAGTGCTAAAGGTTCAGTTAAACCCATTCAGTATCATACCCATTTAACACCGGGGGGGGGGGGGGGGGGGGGGGGGTTCTCGGTCTTACAGGGTTAGAGACCCCACATGCTGGGCGAAACGTTTTGCAGTGGCAAAGTGAGTTTCATGATACCCACTTGCCAACAGGCCAGAAGCTTGCTCTGGTGTGAAATTTCTGGTTACAATTTTCAGCTGTGGTTGGGGTTCTGGCAATAACTTTTAACTGTCAGCGTCAAAGTAGATACAGTATAACACGGGTAGGTCGAACACATAAGACTCGAAATCACGCATCTGTCGAACTGTGCCTGTGGTCATGTTTTGTTATTCTTTACCTTTGTAAGATATGCCTCGAACTACTGAGGCAGGTCCCGATGAATTCGAGCTATCCATGTTACACTGTATAATGAAATTTCAGTATGTTTGTGATCATCTTCTGTATTTCATGGTGTAATTGTGTATGTGTATGTGCCTCTGTGTACGTATGTGTGTGTGTGTGTATATGTTTATGAATATGTGCTGGGAGAGCATAACTGAAAAGAATGGAGGGGGGGGTAAGACTTTTAGGTCATGGATTATTTTATTTTCCTAGTCTCTAAAGCCGATTTTCGTGAATATCTTACTACCAATCCACTGATCATTCATATGTCCATGAAAATTATATGGGTAAAAGAATAATACTAACGGAAAGTATTGTGAAAAAAAATTTTAGGCTGGGTCTTTTTCTTATTCCTGTTGTAAAAATATTGCATTGGGGTTTTTTTACCCATTATGTGAAGCAGACAAAGAGGGTTTGCATATTATGAGACTGTCGTGTATTCCAAGTTTGTTTCAATAATCAAACCAAAAATTGAGAAGTGAGTGTAAGAAACACCACTCAAGAGTATAGCAACAAAATTAGTCCCCCCCCCCCCCCCCCCCAAACCACCCCCAACCTTAATATTGGAATTTCCTTTTTCTTTCTCCATTTGTCTGGAACAGGATCTTTAATCTTTATTTTTTTCTAATATTTTGTGAAAATGCTAGCTGTAATCAGTGATTTTTTTATTTTTTTCAATGTAGTTTTTTTCCTCGACGCTGTATGAATTGTGAATGAACTAGTCGACTTTTTCAAAGGTTTTCTCTTTTTGAAAATAATTTGTTTTGTCACACAACCATTCATTTCTCGTCTGCAGGCACTTCTGAGAAAAGGATTGTGCAGGTCAAAACCAGCATTCAACAAAGCCAGTCTCACAGCCATCATCACCATTTCTCTCAGGTTTGTCAGATGAAATGTTTTTATAAGTTAACCAGGCCCCCTTGAGCTTGTAGGTCTTGTGCATCTAAGCTCCTTGCAGTCAAATTTATCTTATGGTAGGAAAGATCTGCACCTAGCCTACTCGGATACGGAAGAAAAATATCTGAGGTCCCTTGTTCAAGTTGCGCTCGTTAAAGATCCCTTGGTGGTCCAAAATGGATAGGAGTAGGCTTCGGCCACCACCCGGGCTAGATTAAACAATTTTTACCTACTGAAAATGTTTAATGTGTCTAGAGTGCTCATATAAACCTTAGCTGTTGCGAGCACTGTAAAACACTTGCCAAAAAAAAAACAGTCCAAATTGTCCGAGACAGCCATCTGTTGTCAAGGAGAAAAGTGGTTGTCTTAGACAGGTGGACATCTTTGACAGTGTCATGATTCTTTTTTAATGCAGTGGGGGGGGGGGGTGATGGGAAGAGGTTGTGTGGACAGGTGGCCATTAGAGTAGGTTCGACTGTACCACTGTACCCTGAGGCAAGCTTAAGTGTGCAGACGGGTAAAGGTAGTCATGACTGGGCATGTGCTTAGGTCCATAGTGTTAAACACTTTTTTTTGTTTTTGGATATCATGTTTCCTTAACATGTGTAGCACAGAGTAACCATTACTTATCAATTGGGATGTTCTACCTCTTTAATTACCTTACAATGTTCATTGGGGTTTTAAACCCATACCATGCCCTACTGTGCATCTCTTTTCTTTTATTTACTCCCTCATATACATGATTGTGGGTGGTTGGCAGGTGCTCTAGTGTGGTTTGCTCCTTCTTTCCTATCAAACATCTGTCGTCCTTTTCTCCCCTCCTTCTATTTTGTGTTTGTTACTCTCTTGTAACACCTTTAATCTTCGGCACTTATATGACTTTATTGTGTTGTTAGTACCATAATACTCTTACTAAAACTAAAAACTGACCAGTAAGGAACAGATCTGATATTATATCTGAATGATTTGTCCTTGTGTTCTCCAGACCTCTGCTGTCTGCCAACTTTTCCAACAATCTCCTGAGTATTTTCCTGCTCCACATCCTGTCTGTGCCAGCGGTGGTGTACTACATCAACACAATCGCCCAGGACGTGAGTTGAGCTGTTGTTGCCCTTCTGTGTGTGTTGTTCTGCTGCTGCTGCTCTTCTTCCTTATCCTCCTGCTCCTCCTCCTCTTTCTCCTTCTCTTTCTCCTCCTCCGCCTCTTGACACATCCTGTCTAACACGCACTAGGGCAGTGCTACTAACTGAAGTGTCTTTAGGCCATTCCCAAAGGGGGGATATTAACATGTTTTTATGTACAGTAGAATTGTAAATGAGCTGATTTATCAATGTCATGCTCATACTGTGCCGGAACAACATAGGAGGAACGGCTGCTTTTTCTTTCCTCATCCTTAGTGTCGTCATTTTTCCTCTACTTCTTTTGTATGTTTGTCACTTTCTTGTGAACTGCTATTTCCGAGGTGCCTTGATAGTCGAAGCAGACTTTGCACTGTTGAGATTAGAGAAGTGAGCAGAGTAAGCCTGATTCCCTGTTCGGACTTCTCTGTTGACATCCACCCCTTGACGCTCATATGACCTTATGCAGCTGTGAGGGCTGTAAAACCTGACTAAAACTAAAGCATCCTGTCTTTATTGACGATGGTGTACTGCATCAACACAATCCCTCAAGACATGATTCGAGCTGTTGTACTCCTGTGTCTGTTCTTTTGCTTCTGCTCCTCCTTTTTTTCTCTCCCTGAACATTTTGTTTGTGTTGTTTGACATCAGCATGATAGCCCAGGATAAGATGGGTTTTTTTTCTTCAAATTTTGCTTTAGTTTTGTATGATGTGTATTAAAAGTGAAACCTTTTGACAGCAGCTTCTCTTTTCAATGTTGTTCCAAGGATGATGGCTAAAACAGCACCTGGACATGGATGGCTGGTGCCTCTATAAATAAATCATTGATGGTCCGGTCCAAGGATGACATGATGAATTTTTTTTCCTTAATTCATGACTACCCTGGTGACCTATAGATGTTTCTGTCTACCTTTCTTTTTATTTTTCCTTGCACTAAATGACTGCTTTGTGGTGATGCCCGTCTCTTTACACAAACAAAAGGATAGCAAGTGTTTTTCTTGAGAACGGCATGGTTGACTTTTCTTCTCAGTGCGTGGCTACCTTGGTGACCCACCGGGTGTTTAAGAGATGTTTGGATCTTCTGACCATCGAGCAGAGCACAAGGATCATCTTTAACTCTCTGGAGGGGAACTACGCGCTTTGTCTTATGGGTGAGTGGCAGAAGTCAGGCTCCGGCTCAAGATTTATTATGTAGTAATAATAATAATAATAATAGATAGCATTTGTATAGCGCATATCCCCGCTCAACAGCAGGCTCTATGCGCTTTACACTATATTATTACCCCAGCAGACCATAGAGCACTCCGAAACATTCTCAGCTTCCCGGGAAACATACAGTGCGAGCAGCCGATTAAGCGCTCAAACACTAACAAACTGACAAGATCTTTCGCTGTCTATAGCCGGGTACCCATTCCCACCTGGGTGAAGTGAGGAAAATAAGTGTAAAGTGCCTTTCCCAAGGACACAACGTCGGGCCCCTGACGGGATTCGAACCCACGACCTTACGGTTGCGAATCCGAGAGCCTAACCACTAGGCCACCGACACCACATAGTAATTGATGTTTTACAGCCCCATGGACACTGTTTCATGGATCACGGTTTTCCGCTGATCCGCGATTTTCTGTGGCTGCGAGAACTTTCCAAAATCCGCTCCGGGGTCTTAACCGCGATGGTCGTTCTGCCCCGGCCTTAAGTCAGGCCCTTGTAGGCCTTGAGTTTATTTTGCATTTTTTAAACTGATGTGGAAAGAGGGGGGGGTGCACAATATTTACAAAAGTCTATTGGGTCGACCATCAAAGTTCAGGGGTTGGCGAAAAATTTCACTGTGCTCCCTGCAGTTTGGATCATTTAGTGGTGGGCTGCTTCCAGCCTGCTTATCTGGGCCAGCTGAGGTAAAAGGGATAAAACATCTTTACGGACAGATTGAGATACTTGGTTAATTAATAAAAACCTCCCCACATAGGAAATGAATTCATATCTCTCTGTGTAATAACGAAGCACCTGATGACTGCATCAGTTGCTGGTTTTTTAAAAAGGGGGGGGCCTCAGGTCTTTCCTTGTTTTGACGCATATAATCTTTTTCTCAGTAGTGCCTATGGATTGCATTTGGAAGGCTTTTGTGACAAAGCTTATTTTATCAAAAAAGTTTTTTTAAAGTAGAAAAAATTGATTGTTTTGATTAACAATTTGTACACTACTAAAATCTGAATTGAAGCAGACAAAAAATGGTTGGTTACAGTAAGCTTCATGGTCTATTGTAGCCACTCATTTGTTGACGGTCTTATTTGCTTTAATGTAAACATTTTTTTCAACGGATGAACTGAAGCATAGATAGAGAAAAATGGAGTAGAGTATCTTGACTTTAAAATATCAGTGCAAATGTGGGCAAGAGAGAGGATTATGAAGGCTCACTTAAAGGGACTGAGATTGGGTGATATACAGATGGGTCAAGGGGGAACATAAAGCAAAATGAATATGGATACAGCAAAAAGGTATCTCTGAGGCACAATGCTTCACTAGCAAGAGAGACCCACTTGTATTGGCTGGCAGACAGTTGGAGAGAATGTCATCCCTAGGTTGAGATATAATGGATATAAGGAATGCTGAGATAAAAAAAAAAGTTGGAAAACAACTGGCGAAACAACCTTTCAGATGGGAAAGATTGCGGTTTAAGTTTTTGGGTTTTGATTCATGCTGGAAATTGTCACATTGGGAATGGTTTCTTGTGCAAGTAAAAATAATGTTTTGTCTATTGCTATTCTGCAGCAAATCTGGTCCAACTTGGCTATGTTGAAATGGAGGTAAGATGTTTTTCTGATTTCAATGGTATAAATTGCCGTTTTTATAGTGGCATCTCTGCCTGTCTTTAAACTTAATAAACTTTTATTATGAATTTTTGTTTTTTGCAAAGTCAAAACTGAATACCCTTTTTTGTGATTTTTTATTTATTCAGCTTAAACTAAGTTTGTTAGTGGAGCATGGTAGAACTTGCCAAGATAATAACAAATAATAAATGAATTGCATTTGTATAGCGTATATTTCCACTTAACAGCAAGCCGGATGAGGTATAACCTCTAATGGCTTAATCCATTGGCAGTCACACTGCTCTTCTTTTATCCTTCCTTCCCCTATGTCTTTGCTCTGCTTAACATGAAACACCCTATCCTAGATGGAATATTTTTTCTCACCCCCGTGAGGTATTTTTTAACAGGATCAGCTGTACCTGAAATGACATGAATTAAACAGTTGTGTTACATTTTTAGTATATTTTTTGGAAAGCACTATTCCCAGTGACACTGGGGATAGGCCCAGAAACTATTCCCAGTGACACTGAGGATAGGCCCAGAAACTATTACCAGTGACACTGAGAACAGACAGGCCCATGAGACCTAGCCTAGATCTATTGTTTCCCCACCGGTCTACATGGGCATGATGGTGATGGGTTACTAAATACTAGATCTAGACTATATTTAATGTAGAACTAAACCTAGATTCTAGATTCTAGATCTCTAAACTAAAGTAGATTCTGGTGTGGGTGGAAGAATTTTTTTTTAAAGGAATGATCATTCTATGCTTGCTTGTTATTCAGTCGTAATTTAGATGTACATGTAGATCTAGATCTAGATCTAATACGGATTTTGGAAACCTAGATCTACAGCAGGTGGAAATTCTTCCCGATTCTTCTTTCTTCTCTACATCTAGATTTTAGGCTACGGTCAAGTCTAGGCCCAGTAAGAGAAGAGAACAAAATTAAAGTACTGAACTGAAGTGAGAAGAGAGTCTACAGTACACGTTAGAATAGAATCTAGGCCTAGAATCTTGATCTTTTGAAAAGCTGCAAATTTCTCTTCAAACTCTTTGAAAGAGGAGAACTTCGTGCCCGCCGCCCACTTCTATCTGCATCGCAATTTTGTTTCGAAGCGAAAATTCGAAGGCAAAGACTTCTGGGTTTTTTTAATGCAAAAGAGTTCCGTTGTAACTGGGAATACTTTCTGTACCTATCCCCAGTGTCACTGGGAATAGTCACTTCGATGTGCTTTGTTTGATTTTTATTGATGTGTCCATTTTCTTTTTTCACATTCAGGGTTTGGTTGAAAATACAGTTGATTTTATGGTAAGTCTTTTTCAGTATTAGAAAAAAAATTTCTTCAGTATATGCTTACTTTATAGCTCTTGTGAGAAGTGTAGTTGTATAGTTGTATTTTTTTAATACATGTGGTTGGAGAGCATCACTGGAAGGTCCCAATTCGTTTCTTTTGCTTTTTTGTTTCTGTCTGTCTATTTTACTGTTTCCCTTCATAAATTACAGTTGTTGTATCAATTTGTTTCTCTTTAGTGAAACAAAAAGTTGATACATTTCATTTGCAAACTTTTGTGAAGTAAGCAGTGTTGTATTTCTTCACTGTAAAAAGCCCCACTTTCTGCCC